ACTCTGCAAACAGACTAAACAAGATATTAAACCTTTCTACACATGGGAAAGAGGGTGGCGTTAATGCTTTTAGAGTGCTTAAAAAGTGTTGAAGCTTTCTAAAGCTAAGATTTAATTATTTTTTTGCTTGCTTATTTGGACTAGAAAGGATCTAAAAATGCAGTCGGGCATCTTAAAGCGGAACTACAACCTCTTATTGTACAGCCAAAGAAAGTGCTATCTTAGTCTCTATTTGGATTGCTTTGCCATGGTGTTGCACATGTGATCAGCTTACACCAGCCATATGAGAGCTCGGTTGAGAGCTGAAATAAGCACACTGGCAAATTTGACAATTGGCATAAAACTAGCTGTTTTGGATGACAGTGAAATTGGTGGGTCAAGTTCTGCTCTAAGTCCCATATGTACAGTTATATTAGGTATCTAAATATATACTCTACACAAGCTCAATGTAAAAAGGTAGTATCAATTGTGTTGGGTAGAGTAGAAAGCAAAATATATTTCATTTTGTTAACCTCTTCATTTCTTAATTTTAGGACTCTGAACTTGTCGAACTGAAAGATACAATTGAATCACTAAAATCCAAGAACTCTGAGGCACAAGCTGTCATCCATGGGGCCTTAAACCCTCAAGATCATCCACCTAGGGGTATGCTGGCATTTTCTATTAGTTGTCATTATTCCGTTTTGATCAGACTAACAGTATAAACAATTTAACATGACTGTTGTACTGTGTGACAAAGTAGGTTTTCCCTATCATTGGTTAAACGCAAGCCTTCTGGTTACCATTATTCATTATTTTGATAAACTGATTATAAAGAATTTCTTACCTTAATGGCCAAAATACCCAGCCAAGTGCTTTTATTGACTGTTGTGCAATTATTTGCAAGTGCCACTGGTTGCTGCATCCCATGTAGAAAGTTACACACGTTTTCATTTGTTGGAACAAGTTAGCAGAAGTGATTTCCCGCCATGTAGCTTAAGGCCTGGTTCACATCTGAACATTCCGAGAATCGCACACAAAAGCAAAATGCGCTTGCGGTGCCATCCGCGTGTACAAATGCGCCAGAAAAAACGCAGGTCGCTCATCACACAAAAAGTAACTCATCACACGTAAATGCGTGCAATCGCGCACGAACACGCACTCCCAGTAATGCTCAGATGTGAACCAGGCCTAAGCGGGTAATTTCTACATGATGTCCCTTATACAACTCACAGACACAGCCACTCTGGGGTACAGCAGGCATTCCCCTCATTTTCTAGTGTACACAGCACAGCATGGTACTGGCTTTACAAAAGTTTTTTATTCCAGCAAAGGCTGCCATCTGCTAAGGTTCACATATGTGATTGGTTATTTATACATTGTGGGTTTGTATGATTCTTGCTAAAGTATCTATGTCATGCAGCAGTGTCTACTTGTGTATGCCCAGCTGCGGGCCAGCTGCAGACTGTTTGCCTTTGTAATGACCAGCATATACTGGATACCAGTGGCGTAACAACCGGGGGTGCAGCAGGGGCGCGGGCACCGGGCGAAAAGTGAAGGGGGGGCGCCAGCCGAAAATGGCACTTTCGGCTAAATGCCGAAAGTGACATTTTCCTGCCGTTTTGTCGGCGCGGCCGTGATTCCTTTCATCCCCGCTGGGACACAGAGCAGTGCCCAG